TTTAAATACATTCATTTAACAATAGTGACCTGTGAGTAATAAGATTAATGCTGTAAGATGGCGCCGTGGCAAGAGCTCTGGTGTGTGCCGTCTGGTGCACGCTGGGGTAGTCTTGCAATTTTTCCAACGTGGTTTTACTGCAGTGGCAAATACATGAATCTGAATTAATGCACATTGCTCCTCTTATATCCCTCAGATAATAAAGATTAATGCCATTTAATATGCATTGTCCCTCCTTTATCACTCAAATACAAATAAATGCATTGATCTCTGAGTGGGATCAATATATACATATCCTATCTTCCCCCAAAACACGAGCCACAATGAAAGGCTCGGGTGCGCACCAGTCACAGGGTAGCAGAAGCTGCAAGTTAGCTCGAACACATGTAAAAACAGAGCCTGCAGACCAAAGCACGGGGCGAAAACTGACGCCTGCAGTCCAGTGCGCAGGGCAAAAACCAACCGCCTGCAGCCCAGACTCAGAGAACAAACCGGCCGCAGGTCAGCACACTCACCACCACACATGCCAGAAGATGAGGGAAAAGCAACGGCACAACGCGGCACCGCCAATCGGAGGCAGGGGCACGCACGGCACCGGGCCAGACCGTCTGCACGCAGCAGCAGACCACGAGGAGACGAGCAGCATAGAGCCCGCGGAGGGACCCCGCGGAGCAGCCCGCAGAAAGAGCCCGCAGAGGAGGAGAGCAGCGGAGACACGCGGACCACAGCGTGCGACCCCCAGCAGGTGCAGGGACGCGGAGGAGGAGCAGACCACAAGCAGCCAGACTGAAAATTAATAGTTACCTAATGTAACTGTAACTAAGTGTGAATGTATTTAAATTAGAATTAATGTCACAGAGTCTAGCTGCAGGCCGAGATAGATCATGCGCTGAGCAGGCTGCAGTTTGCTTTTCTCCCTGTTCACCACAAAGCCCAGGCGCTGTATGTGGGACAGGACCCAGTGCGTGTGACTCACGGCCACTTCCCTGGATGAGGCCAGTATTAACCAATCGTCTATGTAGGTTAATATTCTTACCCCTGCGCGTCTGAGCGGCTCCAGTGCCACCTCCACGCACTTGGAGAAGGTCCGAGGCGCGAGTGCGTAGCCGAAGGGGAGACGGCAGAACTCGTAATTCCTCTCTCCCACTGCGAAGCGCAGGAACCTCCTGTGTTCCGGAACTATCGGCACGTGGAAGTAAGCGTCTGTCAGGTCTATGGAGGACATCCAATCTCCCTGCCTGACACACTCGAGGAGCTGTTTTGTGGACAGCATCCGAAACTGCCGTTTGGAAATGCACTCGTTCAGAACGCGCAAATCCAAAATGGGACGCACCCCGCCTGACTTCTTTGGCACCAAGAAGTAAGGGGAGTACAGCCCCCTGGTGGCGTCCTGTGGGTCTACCTCCACTGCTGCGCCTCGACTCAGCAGAGAGGAGACCTCCGCTTGTAGTGCCTCTAATGATCCCCGTACCTGAGAGCGTGCTGCCCGTACGCCTCGGAATGGTGGTGGCTTTTGGGAGAATTGCAGTGCGTAACCCCTGCGCAATGTTTTCTCCAGCCATGGATCCGTCAGCAATCCCTGCTCCCTCCAGATGCTGTAGAAGTCTGTGAGGGGCGGAACGGGAGCTGGAACACGAGACGTCACGGCCCCGCCCTCTCCTGGTGTTCCTAGCAGGGAGGGGGGGTGGACGAAAGGGCAGGGGGGCCCCCTGCGTCATACCGTGTGCGCCAGGGGCGGTCACGTGTCCTGCAGGCCCGACGTAATAAGTACGGGTCTGCTCATACCACGTGACTCGACTGCTGCGCCCCCCCCCTGGCTCTTGCCTCATGGAGGGGGGGGCGAGCCCCTGGAGTGGGAAACCCCGTGTTAGCCTCGTAGCTCAGAGGGGCTAGCACGCGTTCGGCCGAAGCACACACATCACTACTCACCGGATCCCTCCGCCTGACCTCTCTCTGGGAGGTGTGAATTATTCCCAGACGTAAGACAAAAGAGACTTGGACAAAACTGCGTAGTTCAAATAGAGTTTTTATTATCAGAAGGTTTGAGCGTAGTCTGATCAAGCACAACGCAGCTTCCCGTCAGAAGTCTGGCTGCAGAAGTCTGGCTGTTGAGATGAAGGGTGGCTACTTATATACACTTTAAATGATTAGGTAAGCATAGACTTTGGAAGCATGACTATGCAGAAGAAAGCGTATGGTTTCAATGTTCAGTTGAGTTGGCCAAAGATGTCATAACTATGATCTAAGTATGTCTTCGTAATGGACCAAACTCCAATGTACATGAGATAGTATTATCTCATGTTCTGTACATCAACACTTTATCTGTTTTATGCTTTTGTAAGCTGTTTAAAGTACAAGTGTACGCCTTTGAACTCTTATTGAACTGTTTAACATGATATTTTAGCAAGCAAATAGTAATTAAATATTCACAGTCCCTCTCTTGATCACATCCACATGTGATCACAAATCAATATTTAATGTAGAGGCGCAAGTCGCTACCTCTCTGTTGATTATATTAGTTTGTAATCATCAGATTATATGACTGTTTGAAAAATACAATATAATTTTTTAAAACAAGTTTTTTATTTTATTTTTAAAGTCTTAACTTTTATTATTTTTATTGTTAGATGAACAAGCAACACAAAAGACAAATTAATAAGTGAGGTGTTTTAGAGTTATAGTTTTTGTTCTAATAAGTTATCTAATCTTTTTAGTAAATAAGGTCCAAGTCAGATGCTTGGATGGCACGTAGGATAATGTTATTTGGACTGGTTTCTTCTTCTTCTGACTCAGGTTCATCAGAGAATAAGTCTCTATGTTGTCTTGCTTCCTGCACCATCATCTGAAGGGCTTTAGAATATGAAGGGGGCTCTGCAAACGCACGATCAATTGTTCTTTGGATTAGTCCCCTAATGCAAGGAATACAACAACAGCCACAAGTTATCAACATACAGATTGATATTATAATTGAGGTTCCTACCATTGCAAAATATTTTCCCCATATTCCAAATGTTTTCTCCAGCCAGTCAATTAAGGGATTGTTGACACCAGACATGTCTTTCAATTCAGTGGAGAGTGCTCTAAGTTTATTAAGAGTTCTAGTCAATTTTCCATCAGGAGCAGTATTATTAACTATGGACGTACAGCAAAGACTTCCGAACATAGAACACACCCCCCCTTTCTCCGCTAGTATCATATCTAATGCCATTCTATTCTGTAAGGCCATTAGGGATGTTTGACTTAATTGTTCATGAGTAGCCTCAAAACCATCTCGAGTGTAGTTGGCTAGGCGTTGTACATTATAATGGATAAGATTAATTCTGTTTACATTTTTGTTAACCGTTACAGGGAAAAATGCTGAGAAAATGGGAAATGATTCAAAACCTGCTGCTACTTCATCTACTAATTTATACTCATCTGGAATTCCTCTGACTTGTCCAATGGCGTCAATCCAATGTCCAGATGACATGTCATTTAAAGGGTTGATGGACCTTTTAGCTCTGTGGCGAATGATGACTTTGTCATCCCATTCCTATAATTTCGCATCTGGAAAACTTAAAGCAGCACTCATTAAAGATACAAGGGCACATGTGCCAGTCCATTTTGGTGGTAAACTTCCATATAGAGCAGAACCTCCACAATACCACCACACATCAGCTCTAGCAGTTGTAAATGGTATGTCAGTGTTGTTGCTTTTGAGTCTATAGGTGCTTTTACATACTTCAAGATGTCCTAAATCATGAAACTCTTTTAAATCTACATATGTGTGGCTAGGGTGTTCAATTGTGATGCATGTAACATTTAAATTGGTAACTTGAGTGCTAAACATAGGTGGTGAAACTCCTTTTTTGGTGACTGGATAAATCTTTTCCCACCCTCTACAGTTAAGACCCGTGTTATCTTTAGACATTACTTCTATCATACATCCTATATCTATACCTTTAGTTGTTGTGCCATTTTTGTTTGTCTCAAAAGTTGTATGAGTTAACATTAATTTTGGTCTAGCTGTTTGACATATTATGCAGTCTGTTTGGTTTGCTTGTTCAGCTTGTTGCCTAACATTTTCTAACCAAACATTACTTTCGACATAGCCCGTTTCAATAGCAAGTTGTACTTTAGGATTTTTGTTGTTATTATCAATTATCTTTATCCAAGGTAAAGTTTTATCAGGTGTTGCAGAGGTATCAAAGGCTATTTTTACAACTACTTTCCTTGTGTAATGTCCTGATGTACCAAAAGTAAGGTATAAGGGTTTTAGATTATTTAACAAGGGGCTTTTTCCAATCTATTGATGGTGAAGGCTAAAAGATTTCTTCTTGGACCCTGTATGGGATAATGACTTTTGCTTTTGCTCTTTATTACTGTTATTTTATCTGCAGCTTTTGCAGGACCACGATAATTGGAAGATTGTGTAGGATCTGAATGGGTCCAGTGATTCTTTGATAGGCAGAGGCTACTCATCTGGGCACAATGTGTTTGCATTTGGTATTCACCACAAATGTAGACATCCCCTCCCCTCCACTGGGAGTGGTCGTCACTACAAGTAAAAACAGAGCAAAAGTCAAAAACATATGTCCAGTCCTCTCCTGGTTTGTAGTTTAATTCTAGTCCTCCATGTTTAGCTATGCAGGGGTCAACATTGGTTTGGCGTTTTTGTCTATGTGTTTGGTTGCTTGCTAAAATATAAGATAATTTAACAATACTTTCATTTTTAGTTGTTGGAGTGATTTGTTGCATATTTACATAAAATTTTGGTGATGGACATATAATGTACCACCATACTAAAACAAAAACAATAGTAATGATTGCAAAGAAATATAAGATTTCTGGAACGTCGCAAGGGTGTTACGAGTCGGACAAGGAACCCAAGTGCAGAGGTAACAAAAAATTTAATTAACAAAAATAGATAGACTCAAAACACAGGAGAGCCGGGAATGGGGCTGGGACCAGGCGGTGCAGGGCTGGGTGCAGAGCTGGGGTCAGGCGGTGCTGGGCTGGGGTCAGGCGGTGCGGAACGGAGGTCTGAGGCAGAGCAAAACAAAGGTGAGACAAAACAGGAACGAGAGCGATAACAAGCAGGCCTACTAACGTACAGTAACACTGATTACGAACTGGCACCGATGAGCTGGCTTCTGGAGCTCTTGTAGCAGCTTGATTGGAGCCAGGAGGCAGCTGGGCCTGATCAGCCTCTCCCATCCACCTGCTCTGGGAGGCGGCTCCAGGAGAAGCAGGGGAGGGAGGGGCTGCTGGAGGAGCAGCCCTGACAGTACCCCTCCCCCTACCGACGCCCCCAGGCGGACACACACGCCTCCCCGATCGACGAGCGTAGAAGTCCCGTATGAGGGACGGGTCCAGGATGTTGCCACGGGAGACCCAGCATCGCTCCTCGGGGCCGTAACCTTCCCAGTCCACCAGGAACTGGCAGCCACGACCACGCTGGCGCACATCCACGATCCGCCGAACAGTAAAGGCAGGATGGCCGTCCACCAACCTAGGCGGGGGCGGGGCTGGACGGGGGGGAACCAAAGGACTAGACTGGACCGGCTTAACACGGGACACATGAAACGTGGGGTGAATCTTCAAGGAAGAGGGAAGCTTAAGACGTACCGCGGAGGGGTTGACGACCCGCTCCACCTCAAAGGGCCCGATAAAGCGGGGCGACAGCTTCGCAGATTCCACCTTGAGGGGAATGTCTCTCGTGGACAGCCACACCTTCTGTCCAGGCAAATAGGCAGGAGCCGGGATGCGGCGGCGATTAGCCTGTACTTGCGTCCGAGCAGAGGCGCGCAGCAGGGCAGAGCGGGCCTTCTTCCAAGTCTTTTGACATCTGCGAAGGTTATCTTGGACCGAGGGGACTGCCAACTCAGCCTCCTGGTCGGGAAACAGGGGTGGTTGATAGCCATAACAACATTCAAAAGGGGACATACCTAAAGATGCGCTCGGGAGTGTGTTATGGGCATATTCCACCCAGGGGAGGTGGGAACTCCAGCTGGACGGATTAGAGGAGGACACACAACGTAGGGCCACCTCCATCTGCTGGTTAGCCCGCTCCGTCTGGCCATTGGTCTGGGGGTGATAGCCAGAGGAAAGGCTCACGTTAATATTCAGGGCAGAACAGAAGGCCTTCCAAACCTGAGCCGTGAACTGGGGGCCTCTGTCAGACACGATGTCGGCAGGAATGCCATGCAGCCGGAAGACGTGGTTCACCAACAGGTCTGCAGGCCAATCACGGACAGCAGACAGCTTTTCAGGATCCATCTGCACCTGGCCCTGGGCAATAATGTATCCTAAGAATGAGACAGAAGGTTCATGAAACTGACATTTCTCTGCCTTAACAAATAACTTGTTCTCCAGGAGTCTTTGGAGGACACTGCGGACATGGCGCCTGTGAGTCTCGATATCTCTAGAAAAAATCAAGATGTCGTCAATGTAAACAAAAACATATCTCCCAATCATGTCACGTAGGATGTCATTTACCAGGTTCTGAAACACGGATGGGGCGTTAGTGAGACCAAACGGCATGACCAGGTATTCAAAATGGCCCAGGGGAGTATTAAAGGCAGTCTTCCACTCATCCCCCTCCCTGATGCGCACCAGGTGATAGGCATTGCGCAAGTCCAACTTAGAGAAAATCGTAGATCCACAGAGAGGGGTGAAGGCTGAACTAATCAAAGGGAGTGGGTACCTGTTCTTAACAGTGATTTTATTGAGGCCCCGGTAATCAATGCAGGGCCTAAGAGACTTATCCTTTTTCTCAACAAAGAAAAATCCAGCACCCACCGGTGAGGACGAGGGCCTGATTATTCCCACTGCCAGGGATTCCTGAATGTACCTCTCCATAGACTCGTTTTCCGGGCGCGAGAGGTTGTACAGGCGGCTGCTCGGTAGAGGCGCCCCAGGAAGCAGGTCTATGGCGCAATCATAAGGCCGGTGAGGGGGGAGAGAAAGAGCCCGATCCTTGCTAAATACAGCACCAAGGTCGTGATACTCAGGGGGCACTGCCGACAGATCCGGAGGGTCTGGGAGCGGGGTGGATCGAACACAAACTGGGGTCAAGGCTGACTGCAAGCAGTAAGAATGACAGAATGGGCTCCATGAAATGATACTCTTAGCTGACCAGTCGACATGAGGATTGTGCAACCTTAACCATGGCAACCCCAAAACAAGCGGAGAGTGAGTACAATCAAAAACATGGAAGGAAATAGTCTCCTTGTGGTTACCTGAGAGATGAAGGAGGATTGGGAGAGTCTTCCTAGTGACTCTGGCGAGTAACTGTCCATTCAATCCCTTAGCCTCCAAAGGGGTGTCCAGAACTTCGGTCCCAATCCCCAGCTGGTGAACGACCTCACTGTCCAAAAAGCTCTCATCTGCCCCAGAGTCAATGAGCACAGGAAGCGTCAGGGTTTGATCAGAAAAAACAAGGGTGCCCTCAAAACTGGCTCTTAAGGGAGAGGTGCAACTAGTTTGGCTCAACAGTACGTCTCCCACTACTGTTGAGCCCGACCTTTTGGCCGTGCAGGACAAGATGCGATAAAGTGCCCAAACTGACCGCAATAGAGACAGCTCCGGGAGTTAATGCGGCGTTCTCTCTCCTCTGCACTGACGAGGGCTCGGCCAAGCTGCATGGGCTCTGGTCCCGGCGTGGCAGGAGGTGGAACAGGCGGTGTCGCTGGAAAAACAACTTGTGGAGAGGTGTAAGCACTCACATGCTTCGTCCTACCCGCTCTCTCACGTCGCCGCTCCCTGAGCCGGTTGTCCACACGAATGGTCAAATCAATTAACTCATTGAGGCTCCCAGGAATGTCACGGGAAGCAATCTCGTCTTTAAGATTCTCCGACAGAGAATTAAGAAATGCTCCCAGAAGCGCCTCATCATTCCACCCCGATTCAGCTGCGAGTGTGCGAAATTCAATGGCCAATTCAGCTACACTGCGGTTCTCTTGACGCAGGGAAAATAGTCTCTTAGCCGCCTCCTTGCCACTAACAGGGTGGTCAAAAATCTGCCTCATAGCAATAGTGAAATCGTAATAGGAATCACAAATTGGATCCTGTTTCTCCCAAACTGCGGAGGCCCAATTAAGAGCATGGCCTCGCAGGCATCCAATTAAGTATGAAATCCTGGCTCGATCATTAGCATAACTTAGCGGTTGTTGCTCAAAAATAAGGGAACACTGGGTCAAAAAGGACTTACATGACCCCAGGTCGCCGTGGTACGGTGCCGGTGGAGGAACAAAAACATCTCTGGTAGGAGGAGGCAGGACTAGCGATGGGGCAGCAGAAGGAACCGAAATGTTATCAGTGGTCGTTGTGTTGATTACTTGAGTCCTCAGGCTTGCCAGGCTGATGGAAAACTCCTTCATGTGTTCCATGAGGGCCTTGAGCGTATTGTCATGTTGCTCCAACAGAGACATCTGGGCAGAAAGGGTCTGGTTGATGTGGTCTGCTGGGTTCATTCCTTGGCCAGTTCGTACTGTTACGAGTCGGACAAGGAACCCAAGTGCAGAGGTAACAAAAAATTTAATTAACAAAAATAGATAGACTCAAAACACAGGAGAGCCGGGAATGGGGCTGGGACCAGGCGGTGCAGGGCTGGGTGCAGAGCTGGGGTCAGGCGGTGCTGGGCTGGGGTCAGGCGGTGCGGAACGGAGGTCTGAGGCAGAGCAAAACAAAGGTGAGACAAAACAGGAACGAGAGCGATAACAAGCAGGCCTACTAACGTACAGTAACACTGATTACGAACTGGCACCGATGAGCTGGCTTCTGGAGCTCTTGTAGCCGCTTGATTGGAGCCAGGAGGCAGCTGGGCCTGATCAGCCTCTCCCATCCACCTGCTCTGGGAGGCGGCTCCAGGAGAAGCAGGGGAGGGAGGGGCTGCTGGAGGAGCAGCCCTGACAAAGGGATGCAACTGCATGTCCTATACTTCCCCATTTCCCTCTCTTTCCCCCTCCGGAGCCCCGGAGCTGGGTTGCGTAGAGAGATCTTCTCCATCAGCCGATGAGTAAGGGGTTGAATCTGGACCAACAGCTGCAGCCATGTCTGCTTTAACTTGCGTCAGAGTCCTCTCCGTTGGGTCCACGGGGCACTTGAAGCAGTGTGAAAGATGGTACCACACCTTGGACTGTCCTCGTTGGACCCGCACAGATCTTCCAGTTGATTGAATAACTAAGTATGGTCCAGTTTGGTAGGGCTGAGTCCAGTTGTTATGTCTGTGTACTTTAACAAATACCCAAGAGCCAGGTGTAACTACTGTGTCAGGCTCGGGATGGATTTGTGAGTCATGAACTCTCTGTCTACATTGGTGTAGTTGAGAGACTATTTTCTGTAACATCTGAACATAAGAATGGTGCTGTTTGTCCCAGTCAATAAATGGTGTTTCTTCATTGAATGGACCTACTGGTTTGTGCATCTCTCTACCAGTAAGTAAAAGATGAGGAGAGTATGATGTGGTTTGGTTAATGCTGTTTCTAATGTCCATCAAAGCAAAAGGAAGAGCAGTGACCCAGTCAAGCTTGGTGGTATGCCAGATTTTAGCCAGTTTCCTTTTGACTGTTGCATTCATCCGTTCACAGACTCCTTGGCTGGCTGGATGATAAATGGTTCCAAAGCGCTGTGAAATATTAAGGGCTTTTAACACATCACGTACCACTTTGGCTGTAAAGTGAGTTCCGTTATCACTTCTTATCACAGACGGAATTCCGAAATGGCTAAAAACCTCGTTGGTGAGATGTTGAATCACTTCCTTGGCTGACTCTGTTTTACATGGAAAAGCTTCAACCCATTTGGTATACTCACAGACTAAGACCAGTAGGTAGCGATAGCCACGGACACGCATATCAGGACCCATGTCTGTAAAGTCAATGACAATTCTTTCAAAGGGTTTATTTGGAAGTGTGTAGGTACCTGGAGGTGGTTTACATGTCTTCTTTGGATTCATAGTCTGGCAGACATGACACTCATCAATCCAGTATTGTAGAATGGGTTTCATATGTGGATGCCACCACAAGTCGATGTGCTTCAGAAGCGCATTGTAACTGCGATGTGTTGGAGTGTGATATTCATCAAAGAGCATTTGAAGCAGCGGAACAGGAGCCAAAACTTTTCCTTCATGATTCCTCCAGATTCCTTCAGCATCTTTAACAGCACCTCGTCTTGTCCATGCGCTATGTTCATATGCTCCAGCAGCTTCTTGGATTTCTCTGACATAGGTAGTATCGATAACATTGGAGTCAGATGAGTTGTCAGGTGTTTCTTTGGCTTGAATGAGCATGTTCCTTTCGTTGTAATTGGCAGCTTCTTTAGCAGCCAGGTCTGCTGCGTGGTTTCCTAGGGACACAGAGTCTTCACCTTTGGTGTGGGCTTTGCACTTCATGATGGCTAGTTGTAATGGCAGCTGGACAGCGTTGATAAGTTGTTTGATCAATGACTCATGTTTGATTGGAGATCCAGCCATGAGTTTGAAACCATTTCTTATCCAACCTGCAATTGACAGTGTCACCGTTTTGTAAGCATAGACTGAATCAGTGTAGATGTTGACTGCACGGCCTTCAGAAAGCTGCAAAGCCTTTAGCATAGCTGTCAATTCAGCAACCTGGGCTGATCCATATGTCAATTGTTGAGCTTCCAGTACTTGATGTTGTCCGTTAGACAGCTGTTGAACCACAGCGTACGATGATATGACATGTCCATCTTTTGCTATATATTTCAGTCTTGACTTTCTCCTCACACATGTGTGGAGTTCCTTCAGTCTCCATGTTGGATGCCATGTTGATGGTACCTCCTTCATATGTAATATGTTCTTGTCAAAGAGTTTTCGAGATGTTGTTGGATCTTTGGGCTCAAAAGGCTCTTTAACTTGCATATGCCTTCTTGTTTCTCTGGCTACGTCACCCCTTTCTTCTGTGGTTGGTCCTTGACTTCTCAGACAATAGGTCCCTCCAAACTCTCTTGAAGTTTCTACAATAGAAGTCAGAGCAGTCACCTGGTTTTGAATATCCTGGAGCCTCCTCTCTGTGTTGGAGGGTGGGCCAACTGGTGTCAAGGACAGTGCTCCTCCCATCACCTTGTGGGTCATCTGCGTTGGGGTTGTTCCTTTAGAAGAGATAACTGTGCTGGGTGTAGGATGATAAGGAGGGGGGTTTTTAGTCAAACGTGAATCATCATTGAATGAGATTAAGTCTTGAGTGGATGACGGATAATACAAAGTGCCCTGCAAAAGGAGAACATCTTCAAGGTTTTGCGATTTATTTCTTTTTCTCATGTGAGTGGTCAGCTCTCTCCTTCCTTCGGGTGTGATCGACGGCCTCTCCTTTGATTTTTCTCCTTCCTCAGAGTCACTGCCACTGGCATCTCGATGGTGTTCAGTCTGAGACCGTGTGTTATACCTGTGCTTTTCCTTGTCCTTCAACACAGGGTAAACGCCCTCAGTGGAGTCTCTGTGGATTCTCTAAGGAAATGTCACTTTCTTATCTGTTGGTTTAATCACAAGAATTGAAGACAGGTCCCTCAACTCTGAGGAAAGATTCTTTGACTTTTTCATCTCCTTTGCCCATCGGCACATTTTCTTAGCCAGTGCATTTTTGTTCTCATGTTCTCGAATTTTAGCATTGTTGTTCTTCTTTCCAAGAGGAGCTAAATTAGGATGTGTTTGATAATATAAAATCTTCCCTTTGTGGTAGTCTAAAATCTTCTTCCATTGTTCTTCTGTGGGTGCAAGTGCCTCTTTGCCTCCATCAATTATTTGCTTCGAGATGTATTTTTTAAGCAATTCTTGTATGATGGACACATTAGCTTGTGCTAATTTTGGTTCGACTTCATCTTCTCAAACCTTGTTGCTCCAGAACTCCTCCACTTGTTTTAGTGTGATAAATTGGGACATTATTGGTATGTGCCTATTGTTTATGTTCTTATTTATTTCTAAATGCACTTCCAGCAATCTAATCGCATAAATGAGTTTCCTAGGGTAGTTGAGGGAGACTGTTACCCCTACCCCGTACTACTCATGCATTCAATTAGATTTCCCAGAGCACAGTGTCTTAATTATGAGTGCAACAATTTGAATAGTGTAAAAAAAGACTATATTGAATTGTGTTTTGCAAAAATTTGAAGATTTACCTTAGCATGTACTGGATGTGAAATCAAATGGGCTGTTTCGTAGTGGTTTTGAAGATGGCTGTTTCAGATTCCTCCTTTACGGCCTATGCAATTGACCCGATCAGATCTCTCCTATTTTTCTCCCCGTCTGCGTTGACACTAGTTTTTGGTCCTGAACCTCCCCACGCGCTCCTAGTATTTCTCTAAAACACAAGAAAAATGTTCAACAGATCAACTTGCACAATCAAACTTTTTAATCACTAAACATTTATATGCTTTATTTATTCATCTAATTATTATACTGTACATTATCGAGTTTTAGAAAACAAAATTTGATATTTTAAAAGTAATCATAAAAAATAATGATATTCGAACAACCAATTAGATAACCCTTATCATTTTAATATTGAGCTGGCATGATATCTGTATACTAGCTGCAAATGTTAACTATTCACTTCTTATCATAGACAGTAATGCAAATTTTTAACATAAATAAAACACTGAAAATCAAAAGTTTTATTTTTAGTTTAAGTTTAGGTGCCAATCCTAATACATATATATAATTTTCCCTCAGAGTATTTTATTGTCTAGTATACAGTATATACATGCATAGCCTTAATCATTTTAAAATCATTAAGTAAAACATTTTGTATATATTTTAATAGTTGTGATGGTTTAACATTTGTACAACATACTAGAATATTTAAATACTAACAATAATTATTTTTATAACATGAAAGTTAAAAAGGTGATATTTCTTATAATATTAAACATCTATTTTTAGCTCTATTTGCTATTTAAACTAATATATCATTGAATGCGGCCAATATATTTGGATTAGCCAACTCACTTTACTAGCCTTTATTTTTTCTTTAAAACATTTATTTGCATAAAAATAACACTATACCAGAAAAATAACCAGGTAAGCTATGCCAATAATATTATTTCACTGCAAACCTTATTATATTATTATACATTATAAGACTATTTTTATAAATGCTGACAAGTCTTTCACTTGTAATCACAATTATTCAAATAGAAATAAAACGCTTTCTGCTATATATTACCCTCCATGACAAACAAAGTAATCATTAACAAAATGCTATCTTTTTACGTGCAATTAATTTTAGAAAGCTGGACACAGAATACAGTTGTAATTAATGTATGTTCAATAATAGAATTGCAGTGATTATTAAAACCTTATAGTTGTATTATTTTCAACAATTACATTTTTCTATTCTAACAAAGATACATGAAAACATAACACACAGGACTTCACTTATTTGGTTAATGGTTAACTTTTATCGCTGCTGCCTGCTTATCTGAAAACAAGGCAGAAGACACCTTTGTAAGTCCATCTAAA